GGGCTGGGGGGCGGGCGTGGGCGTCTGGGCAGGGAGACGTAGGGGTCACGCCGGGCTGGGGGGCGGGCGTGGGGGTCTGGTCAGGGAGACGTAGGGGTCAGGCCGGGCTGGGGGGCGGGCGTGGGGGTCTGGGCAGGGAGACGTAGGGGTCACGCCGGGCTGGGGGGCGGGCGTGGGGGTCTGGGCAGGGAGATGTAGGGGTTCGCAGCTGTTGCTGTCCCCTCCTCATCGATGTTCCTGGGCCCAGGGGCAAGAGAGGCCCAGCCCCAGCTCTGCCCTTCTGCCAGCGCCTGGCACAGAGGGGGACGCCTGGCACGCACCCCTGGGACTCCGCCGGTTGCATCACAGGCTCCTGTCGGCCAACGTGGCCTGGGCCCCACGTCGCCCGCCAGCAGCCCTGCGGTGGGAGGAGCGCAGGGCTGGCCAGTGGGCACAGAGGATGGTGCCAGACCCTCTGACCTCTCCTTGGGGACAGCACCAGCGCAGGGAAGTGGCAGGCTGTGCCCCGAAGCCTGGGACACCGGGCTGCCCATGGCAGAATCCACCCCTCCTGCCAAGGAACGCCGGGGCAGGGGACAGCATCTGCCCAGCCAGCTGGGAAGCCGGATCAGAGGTGGGCGGGGGAAGCTGGGCTCCCCGGGCCCTCGTGGGGTGCACGTCAGCCGGTGCTGGCCCCAGCCCAGGCTCAGCGTCAGTGCAGTCTCCAGGGAGAACGGGACACAGCTGATCCCTGGGATGGCGGCCGAGCTGAGGCCAGCTGTGTGGCACGGTGCCCATCAACGTCCAGCTGTGTCTTCATCACACCCTCTGCCATGCCACTGCCTCTGTCCTGAGGGCCGTAACCAATCCCTGCCGCCGCCCGTCGCGACGCCAAACCCAGAGCTGCATGGTACCAATGCCCAGGCTCCGAGATCCACCCTCTCACCCCGGTGCAATCCACGGACATCCCTCAGGCTGCTCCCGAGTCCACCAGCGCAAGAGCAGACTCAGCCCCGGGCTCGAGAGTCCAGTCACTGGACAGCAACGGAACGGGGGCAGCTTCCTGACCCAGCTGGTTACACTGAAGTCAGTTCCACCAGAGCGGTGTTTGGCCCAGCCGCGTGCTGAGGAGCCAGCTCCCAAAGCCCTTTCAGTTCTTGGCAGGCAGGTCCCTGTGCTGAGGATCCGCTGCTCCCCCAGTGCCCCAGCCAGACTCTGTTACTGTTGGGACAAGTTCTCCAAGAGCCTCTGAACCTGCCCCTGCAAAAGCAGAGGCCAAGCCATGCATGCACCAAGCCCCTGTCTTTGCACACCCAGCTGGGCACTGTGCTCACGACCAAGATATTCCTGCATGTGCACAAGGGCGTTTCCACACGGAGGGGTGCAAACGTGGCCTGTTCCAACAGCAGCTGCAGCTCCCGAGCCTGCGAGGATCCCATGCCGCAGCACCAAGCGAGGGGGCACTGAGCTGACTTTGAGCAGACAGATAGCACCACGCTCCCGGGGACCCGTGGTCACTCGATCACCCAGCGCCCTTGCAAGGGTAGGATCCTTAGCCCTGCTGTCCTGGCCAAACTCCTGCTGGAGGTGGGCATTTCCCTACCTCCATTTCCCCCGCAGCGCCATGCCGGGTACAGGATTCCTCCTGCACTCCTGCCCCTTGCTGCTGGGCAGCACTGCTCTGTGCTGTCAGACAGCTGCAGGCTTCACCCCAGAGGTGACCACAGTGGCGGCCCTGTCGAGTACGGCTGGAAGCCTGCAGGCTCCACGGACCTCAGAGCAGAGTCTGCTGAGCACTGGCTGCTTCTCCCCATCTCCAGCTGCTCCACAGCATTGAAAGAAGCTAAGCATGCATGGCTTTCCTGCCGCGACTTTTGGTGCTGACACATGGGAGGAGAAAGGGGAGTGACGGGAGAACACGGAGCCGAGGGGTCGGAGCGGGGCAAGTGAGAACGGGGAGAGGGCAATGCAAAGGGGAGGTGGGGGTCTTGGGTGAGCGGGAGGGGGGAAGGCCAGGTGAGGAGGTATTCACAAGACACCGCATGAGAAGGTTCCCGGCCCAGTGAGTGAGGGTGATCCCTGCTCTCTGCGCCACCCTGCCAGCCCCTCCTCCAGGCAGTGCCCAGCCGCGCCGCATACGGGGAGTGGTGGCCACACTTGTTTGTGGTGCATGGGGTCAGTTTTCAGCTCTGAACCTGTGCACCCCAGAGCCGTGCAAAGTCGGTGCAGTGCAGGCAGACAGGCCCTGTTCCGATGGGTGCCTGGGGCGTAGCCCAGGTACTCGGGGCCAGCTTTCCTGCTTGGTGCAGGGCGGGGCCGATGGCACGTGCAATGGGACCCCATTCATCCCAGCTACACTGGTGTTGCACGGCTCTGAGTGAGTGAAACCGGTCACTGCCAGCGCAGTGCCAGGCAGAACCCGCCCTCTTGTGCGAGTCCAGCTCTTCCGCCCAGGGCCAAGAGCAGCCTGTCCCGCCTGGGGGAAGGGGGCGTGACACACTGCCAGAGCAGAGCGGTTCACCCCCGCTGTGTTGGGGGCACAGGGAATCTGGCTGCAAGCGGGTGTGGGGGTCAGCATATGCGGTGACGGAGCACGGCAGGGAAAGCCGCTCTCAGAGGGGTAAGATCTGGGTGCGAGACAGCAGGGGCCTGCTGTGCGTCACGATCGCCTGCAACTCCGGTGCCTGCTACTCTCCTTCGGCGTCTGGGCAAATCCGGCGTCACCCACGCGCCGAACGAACGGCGGCTCGCTGGGAACGACAAAAGCAGCTCACGCCCCAGCCCCACCATTCGCACCGGGGCCCTGATCTCCCCAGGGAAGGACCCCGGTACGAGGAAGTCAGAGCCACCGGCAGAGCACCGCATTCTGCTGAGCGAGGGAGCGACTGGACGGGAGGGACGCCGGAGTGAGCGGGGCAGAGAGCCGTCCCCCAGCTCCGAGGTCGCCGGGCTCCTAGTTACCATCCTTGCAGGAATGGAGGAGCAGCCAGGCGGTAACAGCAAGGTTGCTAGGGGACAAACGCTCCGGGTTTAGACGATCTCCCAGCCTGTTTGCTGTGCCCCCCACGCCTCCCTCTCCAGGCCTGTCCCGCAGCGGGATCTCAGCCACAGGGCTGGGGCAGGAGCGCGGCTGGCATTGGAGCTCTGGATCCTCGCCAGAGCAGCGGGAGCATCGGCAGAGGGCGCTTTGCAAAGGCAGATCGCACGGCCCTGGCTGGGTAGGAGGCCCCGGGGGAGAAGGACGTGTCCCAGCACAGACCAGTGACCACGAGAGCACCCGCACAAGGTGCCCACCTGCACTCCGGAACCCGGCACCAGCGCGCAACCGCACCCACGTTCCCACTCCCCTTCTCCGCCTTGCTCTGGCGGGCGATTAGGGCCCCCCCAAGGGGCCAGCAGACCCCAGGACAGTGAGCGCCTCAGCACAGGGACCTTGGACCCACTGCCCTACGACCCTCGGTGTCAAGGGGCCTTAAAGGCAGCAGATTTCAGCATCCCCATCTGGTGGAACAGCTGCCTCCCCCACCACAGAGCCCAGGCCCAGAGCCTCCCGCGCCAGCGGCCACGGGCAACCTGAGCGTCCATCAGAGCAGACCCGAGGCTGCTCTAACGCACAGCCCAAGTCAGGCAGGGCCCCAGCCAGGCCCGGAATACCAGGGGATGCAAAGGTGCCCACCCTCCTCATTTCCAGGTTGCGTTCACCTCAGCCAGGGCTCAGGATCAGGCCCCTCACCTTCCCCAGGGTCCGTAAAGTGCCCCCTGCCCCTTGGATCCCTGCCCCAACGGAATCACCGGCGCAGCCTGCCCCGGGGTTTGGGGATAGCAGTGGGGGCCGTGTATTCGCTGGTACGTGTTGTGTTTAAAGCCAACTTCGCTTGGGGCAGGGAGGCAGCAGCTGTGTAGAAAAAGCAGCATCTCACACACACACACACCCCCCGAAGTGCTTTCCAGCATATTCAAGGTTTAGTTTGGTTCAATGGCTCCCAGCGTCCCCACTCTAAAAACCGTTCCCGCGCCCTTGTCCCAGTGCACCCCCTGCTACCACTGTCCCTGCTGTAACCTCCGTTCTCCACACACCACTGCCAGGGCCCCCGGGCACCCCGGGCAAGGGGCCTGCGAAAGCCACAGCCCAGCACTGAACGACTCCTTGGGGCGCTCAGCCCCACCTAACCCGCTGCCCAGGCTGCTGCTGGCAGGGGATGGGAATCGGTCTGATCCAAGAGTCTCTCTCTGGTCGGTGCCTGTCCCCGGGAGGTGTTTGCTGGGCCTGGCATTGCCAAGCACAGACCCAGAAGAGCAATTGCCTTAAATATTCGCCAGGTCCCACATCCCAGGCGCACCGGCGCTTTCCCCCAGGGCTGATCCGTTCCTCTCTCGCCTTCCCAGGCGTAGGAATCTGCCGTCGGCGAGGGGCCCCCTCCACACGCACTGAGCAAATCCTCCCCCAAGCCCCCGGCCTCAGCCCAGAGCCCGCTCGCCCCGAACAGGCCAGTCAAAGAAGGCAGGTCGAGAGGGCCGGGGCCGGGCCCAGGCAGGGCAGGCGCCAATGGGGGAGGCTGCGATCCGGGCCCGGAGAATGCTCGAAACGCGACGCGGGGGCGCGGGGATCTGCAGGATACAAACTGCACCCAGCGCCCCTGCGGCGTGAGAGGAAGCCCTGCGGGAGGGGGCCGGGGCCGGTCTCCTCGGAAACCGACATCCCGGTGCCTCAGGGCTGGATCCCCCGGGCCGCAGACCGGAGCACGCGCCCCACGACACACACCCAGCCCCCGTGTAGACACGGCACCGGCAGCGCGCGCGCACACACCTCACCCCGGCCGGCACGTGGGCACCGCCTCGCCCCGCTCCGCGCCCCGGGGTCCCGCACCCAGGCGGGGGGCGCTTCGCTAGTCCCCCCCGCGGCTCTGTCCCGGCAGCGGGCTGAGCCCGGCCGGCCGGGGGCGCAGCCGGGTCCCCGCGCCCGACACGAGGCGCCCCAGCGCCGGCCCTGCCCGGGGACCCCCCGCCCGGCGCGCACTGACCTGCGGGAGCCCCGGGGAGCCCCGGCCCCGCGTCCGGCTGGGGAGACGCGCCGCCCCGCACCGCTGTTCCCGGCGCTGCCGGCTCGTGCAGCTGGGAGCATGCGTGGGGGAGGCGGCGGGTTTCGGGGAGAGGGGGCGGGCGCCGGCTCCCAGCAAAGCAGCGAGGGGAGGAGGGGCCGCGGCGGACAGGGGGCAGCAGCCTGGGCACAGGCGGGGGCACCTGCCCTGGGCTCGCCCGGCCCCTGCGGGCACCGAGCCAGGGGGCCCCCCTTGGTGCCAGTGGGCATCGCGAATCCAGGCTCCCTTGAAAGATCCCGCGCCCCCGCCACAGGCCGGTGGGGATGTGCCCGGGTACTCGGCAGTCGGAGTCAGCGCCCAGTGCTGTGCCCGGCCCGTGGGACTCCAGGCCTAGGCAGGCGGCTTCCGCGTCCAAGCCAGCGAGCGGTCAGCAGCCATCCCCACCCCACACGTCCCCAGGCGACGCTGGAGCTAGGCCCGACAGAGAGACAGGGGCCCGCGCCAGCCCCGGGCTTTGGTGCCCGATACCAGTGGGAGCTGGGGATCCCAGGCTCTCCGCCCTGGCACTGGGGAAGCCCGGTGCCGGGAGATCGGGGTGGTTCCCAGCTCCCCCCCAGAAGGAGGCGAGTGGGCGCAGTGGTCAGCCTGGCACGAAGACTCTGGCGCTCCCCCTCCGCAGGGCACAGCTGGCTACCTCGCTGCCTGGGCAGAAATGGAGCGTGCTGCCAGTGAGAAGTGCCCGCTGACAGCTCTGGCGATCGGAGGCCTCCACCCAAGCAGGGCCAGCGGGCAGGATGCCCCACCTCGTCCTGCCAGTGCCCCTCCAGGCCAGCCTGAGCAACCCTCTGGGGACAAAGGGGAGCTCGGCCTCGCTGGCCCATGCAGCTCCAGGGGGTCGTGGCTGAGGCTTTGTGACTCACCACTGCCCCGAGACCCCCAGCTTCTTTCCCCCAGGCCACCAGCAGCTGACGGGGGACAACTTGATCAGATAGAGTCCTGTGCTGGGTAACAGCTCCATTCGGGTCCCCGCTCCCCAGAGCTAGCCATCCCTGGCACGGGCACTGTGCATCTCTGGCCACTCGGACAGGGTGGGGCTGAGTTGGCCAGTGGATTCTGCCCATCCAGCCCCCTCCTGCCCCACCCCCTGCCCAGTTCTCTTGGCTGCTGGGAGCTGGGCTCTGCAGACGGTGACACCATGTTACTCAACCTGGTAATTTTCCAGTTTGTGTGGGGGGAAGATCAGCCTTTCCCATCCTCCCCTCTCAGCAGCAGTCGGCTCTCTCCCCTCCCTGGGTGCTGCAGCTGAGCTGGTGCCCCTCCGCCCTGCCTGGATCAGCAACGTCAGGGGGAGAAGGGGGCAGTGTGCAAATGCACCCACAGCCCGCACCTACAACCCCCCACCCCGGCCAACTCCCTCCTGACCCCCACACTGGAGCAGCCTGGATCCTGGAGGGCGGGGAAGGGCCGTGCCCCTGCCCTCTCCAGCCCACGGCCCGGGAGGCCCCCCAGGAAAGACCTTGTCCGTCCAGGAAGGGAGCGGCTGGGTGGCCAGGGGAGGGGAGGACATGCTCCCCAGGTCGTGCTGGAAGGGAAGGCAATGGCTCCACAGAGAGGGTCAGTGCATCCCTCCAGCCTTTGCCTCTCTTCTGCTATGTGCTTACAGGCTCAGCACCGATTGGAGTGAGGAAACCTCTTCTCTTCAGGCCGCAGGTTCTTGCATCTCCCTGCCTCCCCCGATTGCTCGGGGGGTTCCCCCGTCTCTCCCCGCTGCCATCTCAGCTCTGCCTTGGATGGGCTGGTTCCGGCCCAGCAGGGCCAGCGTCTCCCTTTCCCTAAGATAGCCTGACTGCGTTGGAGCTGGTGCTTAGCAGAGCCAGGCTGATGCCTGCAAATGCTGTTGGCGTGTGCCATGGGCTGTGGGGAGTGATGCCTTTCCCATGCCCCCTGGCACTGGCAACCCATGCTCCCTTGTGGGCCCAGGGCAGGGATCTGCACCATGTCCTCTGCTGCAGTGACATTGCAGGTGTGAGCTCTGGCTTCCCTTTCACTGCCCGGCTGGCAGCAGGATTTGCCCCCTGGGAAGAAACACAAAGCTCCTGGTGCCAGCGAGCTCCCTGGCTGTGACCTCTGCCAGAACCTGGACCCTGGTGGGGGCATTGGCAGCTTCTGGAACACAAATACTAAACACATTGGAAAGGAGCAAGTGGGCATGGCTCACCCATTGGCCCCCCAGCCACCCAGAGAACCCAGCCCCCTGCTGGGGACAGCACCTCCGCCAGCAGGCTCAGGAACACTCCCTAGCCGTGAGCTGCCTGTTGGGGGTGGGGGGAAAGGGGGTGACCCCACCCTCTGTACAGCAGAGAAAGCTTCAGCAGAGCCGGCATGGGGGGAGGGTGGTGCTGGGTTGGGTGCCCTGTAATTTCCTTGTTGCCACCTCTGCTCTGTGGCTGTGAGTCATGCATGAATCACCCTCCAGTTGCTAATTCGCACCATCTTTTATTCCTCAAAACAAGGAACTGTAACCAGCACTGCTTTCTGCTGCGGGGGGAGGAGAGGGAGTGAACAGGATGCCAGTTCCCCAGAGGGATGGCGGCTGCAGGAGCCCGTCACAGTGACCCTGCCATGACTCTGTCCTGGAGACGGCATAGCCAGAGCATCCAATGCCTCGTGCATCTCCGCCAGCCTCGTGCGTCTCGCCTCACGTCCCAGTGGGGGCGCGGCCGTGGCACGGGGATGTGCAGTGACCCTGTGCCGTCGAGGTGAACACCAGCGCTCAGCCGCCACTAGAGCCCAGGCCCTGCCCAGGTGGGGAGTCTCAGGCCCCCACGCACCTGGACACACTGGGGAGTTCATTATGGGAAGGTTTGTTGGATGGTCCTGGCAGAAGGTCCGGCTGGCAGCTCCCCCCAGCCAGGGGAGCGATTCACAGCGGTTCTGCTGGGGAAAGCGCAGCCAGTCAGGAGATGCAAGGCTCGTACACCGGCCTTGGCCGCAGCCGAGCTGGGCTAGGGGTAGCCTGGAGGCCCGTGCAATGGCGGTGTCGTTCCTAATGCAGGGCAGGCTGGGGCTCCCTGCCCTCTCTCACTCTGCCCCTGCCATGCTAGCCACGCTGCCCTGGTCTGACGCCAAGCACTCAGGCTGCAGCTCCAACCTGTCACTCTCCCCACACCCAGGCTGCCTGCAGAAGGGACAGCTCAGGGCTCGCTCCTCGCCCAAGAAGGGCTGGGCCCATGGTGCTTTGGCGTGAAAGTCCAACCCTGATACGGTTCTGTGGGACCCCTCTGCCCTGCCCCCTTTTCGCCCCCCAAACCAGCGGGGAGTTTAGCGTTCAGTAAAGTCCTGTAAAGATCGAAAGCAGCAAAGGTCAGAGCTGACTAGATTCATGCTCCCCACAGCTGATCTGGACTGGAGATCATCTGTCTGCCCCACCCCCGGCCTTCCTTCGCACTGCTGGTGGGTGGAGTGCCCACAGCGAGGCGGTGCTCCGAGGGCGTGCAAGGAGGGGGCTCAGGAGGTCTGACACCGTTGGGCAGCTAGGGCGGCTGGCCTGCTGCATCACATGGCCCAAGGAAGGCCTCAGACAAGGGGGTTGCTCCAGGGGAGAGTGCCCTAGGCTCCCAGAGCTAGAAACAGCAACAAGACTCTATGCAGACCCAGCGAGAGGCAGGTGGGACCCAGCAACTGGGTCTGCAAACAACGGGTGAGCCTCAGGACTCCAGCTGTGACATGCTGGCCAAGCTGCAGCCACGCGTTTACCAACATGAATGCCTCCAGCACACGGACGGAAATGACCACTTTGTGCTGCGGTTTTCAGCTGCTACTTCTGTGACGGGCTCCTAACGGACAGGCCCATGTTTATGTGCCAGCTCCTGGTGGGGGCGCAGGGACGCTACCCCTACGAACAGATCCCCAGCACGGCCTGGGAGTGGGAACTCCAACGACCGACTCTTCTCTTGCGAACTTCAGCAAATGCAGGACAGCCGGAGGGCTCCTGGGGCTGGGAGCAGAGCCACCTCACTGGGAGTGGTGGATCAGCACCTGCTATTTGGTTATTTGTATAGCCCCCAGGTGGAGCAGGTGTTACGTAGAGAGAGGGATCTCTTTGTGCACCAAGGAGCAACCACCTCCATGCAGCAGCCAAAGAGGTGTTCTGACCTCCAGCCCCTGCCCCAGGGCGAGGTGAGCAGGAGTATCGCACAGAGAGCTGGGGCTGGCAAGAGAGAAAGGGGAGGCACCTGCCTTGCACAGAATGGGAAGGAATTGGAAATCCTGGGACATGGGGCCATTTGCTGTAGAATCGCAGGGCAGCCAGGGCTACGCATCTAACATTTGTGGAAAGATCCCCCCACCCTACCCTGCCCCTGTAACAGGCCCTGTGCTGATTCCCCGCCCCATGTGTTACGAATTATACCTGATAGGACATGCACACAAATGCTACAAACTATACCTGATAGGACATGCACACAAATGCTACGAATTACACCTGATAGGACATGCACACAAATGCTACGAATTACACCTGGTAAGACACGCACACAAATGCTGCAAATTATACCTGATAGGTTACGCACAATTCGAATCTAGGCTGAGGCACATAAACAAAGTCCACAACTGCAGAGTTCCCAAAAGACACTAAGTTTATTATGCTCGAGCGTGGTGCCCCCCTGCTAGCCAGGAGGGGACCCCGAATACAGATTATACAATGGTGCATGCTGTGCTTGCTTTTAGACAATGGTGGGCTCCAAACCAAAATGGAGTCACATGTGCTAACTTTTCTTTAACAATGTCATACCCCATGTGCTGGTGGCCCCGCCCCACTCCCCCATGCTGATTCCCTCACACAGAGGACTAGAGGCAGGACTCCTGGGTTCTCTTCCCATCCCCCTCACTTGCCGTGTGATTTAGGCAAGTCCCTTCCCTTGTGGGTGCCGTTTTCCCCATCTCCTAATTACATCCCACTGCAGCCCCGAGCCCCCCCAGGGGCTCACCCCCTCCTGACTCTAGCTCCTGGGCCCCTTTGTCTGGCTGAGCCTCAGTGGGCAGAGTTTGAGTGTGGGGAGGGGAGCGGACCACGTGGGGAG